GACTATAATAGAAAACATAAAACGGCTTAGATGCATCCCAGTACTGTATTGACAAAACAATATCACCTGTAGCAGTCATTCCAACGATGGAAGGATCGCAGTTAGCAGGGACTTTATGGACCATTCCGATTTCGGGTTCTCGACATCCTTTACAACCCACAAACACAACTCCTCTCCACCTTGGTAACGAAATCTAACATCCTCGAGAGTAATCACGCCCAATTTACCCTTGTAGTTGATCACTTTAGGGCGATGCTAATAAAATCTGAAATCTATAAATTTGAATTTCTCAGACCTAACATCAAAACAAACTATCATATACCTTCCCTTCATTCCTTCAGAAAAGTAGTACACAACACCATTGATGTATATCCCTTCACCACTAGGAACATGTTTGAAGGGACAATGGATCTTCCTCCACGAACCGTTTCTAGATCCTGGTGTCAAAATTTGATCCGGCTCTTCCTCTTTATTAAATCATGGGGAATAGCTAATGCAAAACACCTTGTATTGGTTTTCAACCGGATCATACCCAAAAAAGCTTTTCCAATAAGTACTCTTCATTCTCCATTTAGGTAATGGTAAGGTGCTGTATTGCCCTGTGCTAGGGTTACATATCTTATGCACTATACCCTCATACTCTTGTGAGATCTGTATACGTTGACCGTAACAGACAAAACCAGAGGCATGGCCACAAAACTTTAGCGATTTGTCTCCAGGGAACTCCATCTGAAAATCAGCTGTTACTACAAGAGCCGACGACTTCTCATATGGATTCTGAGGCTGAGGCGACGTCAAGAAACACCAATCATCCCGTCGTTGGCAGGCGAATAAGAGACGCGGTCGAGCCAAGGACCTTGCCAAGAGCAAGTCGGTGAAATATGGACCGAGAAGCATGGACGTGGAACCCCATTGCTTCAACACACAACAAAACCTAGCGATTGACTTGGTAGGCAATCTCGAGAGTATCTCTATGACGAGATCCATTGGGATGGAATCTGAGTTTTCTCCTCTACTCATAATAAGATTGTGTTCGAACTTGGAAGATGGTGGCGTGCATGTGTTTTGGTTCTGTTTAAACAGCTCACCCTCACCCTCTTCTAGTCTAGGTTTTAAAGACAATCTATCGATTCTAAAGTCGGTTGAAATAAGAAACCAAAGTAAAAGAGAGTAGACAATTCCAAAACGTGGAAATTTGTCTAATATTATTCAATAATAATAGTAATAATACTGAAAGCAACGTGGAAATAAATATGGATTTAGGGCATCTAGAAACTTGAATTGGCAATGTAACTACTGTATATGGAAATCGATATTCTTTAATTAACTAGATAAGTTAATGATACATTTTTACAGAATATTTGCAAAGCTTAAGATTTTTTAACATTTGTAGGAAATTTGTAGTTAAAAATTGGGATTAAATAAAGAAACTTGTGGCTTAAGGTACAAATTGAATGTTGATTATTTTGTCAGTGAAGTCTACATTTGTATTCAAGTCTTTTTGAAGTGAAGTTTATAGACTAATAAGCTAAATACCAATTAGAACAAGAAAATAAATTAAAGCTAAACTATAACAAATAAACATGTCAAACTCTTACATAAGTAAGAACAATAAATAATACACATTTAAGAGTCAAAGAATAAATTTTATTTGTTATAAATATCTGATCAATTAATTTAATAAAAAAAATTAATGTCGCAGACTGCAAACAAAGTCTACGGACTAATAAGCTAAATACCAAATAAAACAAGAAACTTGATTTCACCAAATATATATAATATAAACATGTAAAACTGATACAAATATAAGTACACTTACTAAAACTGATACTTCAAAAGTAGACTTCAAACGAAGTCTACTTGGGTTAGTTTTGGGGTTGACCAAACATTGAATTTATTTTCGAGTAGACTTTTTTTGAAGTCTACTCAGAAAGTAGACTTCAAACGAAGTCTACTCGGAAAAGTAGACTTCAAGCAAAGTCTACTCGAAAAAGTCAACATTGGTCAATTGCAAAACTAACCTCTAAGAAGTCTAAGTTCAAAGTAGACTTTTCTGAAGAAGTCTACTTTTGCGAGTAGATTTCTTACGAAAAAGTTAAAGGTTGGTCAATTGCAAAACTAACCCCTTTTTACGTAGACTTCTTTTGAAGTTTACACTATTTTTTGTTGTTGTCAAAGGAAATGGTGCAGACTTCAACTGAAGTCTATTGTCAGAAATTGGTACACCCGGTCAATTGCAAAACTAACATGTGTGTTGACCAGCAGACTTCTTTTGAAGTCTACTACCAAAAGTAGACTTCTTAAAAAATCTACTTTTGCGGCACAGATCTGAAAACTCACAAAAATTGACTAAAAAATCACCTATCAGTGGTATTTAACTTATTCAACCACCGATTTCTTTGATTCCAGCCACCACCAAACAAGCCCAAACGATTTGCCAGACCAAATCACCAAATATGGCAATATATTAAAACATCAAGTTTCAAAAATTTAGATTAGAGAGTTTTTGTGCTGAAAATGGTGAAAAATTGGAAGAGTAGAAAGTTAAGAGAAGAGGAAATGAGGTTACAAAGCTAAAAAATGGGTCTTTAAAGCAATAAAAGCTTCAAATTGGTTGAAAATGGTGGTTGAATGAATTGATGGTGATGGTATTTTCGTGAATTAGTGAGGAAGATGAGGATTATTTGGTAAAATAGATTTCTGAAATAATAATAAAAAATAATAATCTAATGGCATTTTTGTGAATAAATAGAACTGATAAGGATATAAGTAAGATAAAGTGGTTAATTTCAAAAATAGTAAAATAGAAGGTTAATTTAGCAATTGACTTGAACTTATGGATTATTTTTGCAAGATTCCATTTTTATATGATATATGCACACTATTTGGAAACTCCATTTTCAAGACCTGTGAATATTATATCAGCATCAAAAGTTATCAAATAGCCATTTAGCTATACCACTAGAAACAAAACAAGAGCTTCTATTTTGAGAACCTGTACTGTGTCTTGATATCCTCGTTTTTATAATCTATGGCTCGAGCAACACTCGAAACTTTCAATATCCTGGCCTTTTATGATCCCCCACATGTTAAGAATCACCTTATTTTCTACTACCTTTGTCAATGTGCATATAGAATCTCTCAAAATTTATTTTTTCATGAAAACATTCTTTCACAAACGATATATGTCAGATTCAGAGGACGGACACAACATTAGGTGGTTAATACCTCAAAACAACTACATGATATGTACAACTAACACAGTCTCATAAAGTTAACTTTAGGTTTTTATATACGGACGTGGACATTGTCTCATTGCCTCCTTCAGCGGCAGTCACAAGTACTGTTTTACCTGAGTTCATATGTCCTCCATGTGAATCCCATATAAGACAATGAAGTTTTCAGACATCACAAAATCAATAGCTACTAAAGAATATCAGGTAATGTTATAATTATTATGAAGACAACTTCAGTCTTCAGCCATGGCTCTGACTGAAATACATAAATTTCTTAAGAACTTATATGACAACTTGATTGTTTACAGAGAGATCCACAACATGGTTGTTAAATATAGCCTTTAGCGCAGTCAGGTACATTCGTCATCACCCAAGAGATGCAGAGAATCATATTTGTTAACGCTCTGAAACGTAGGACCATCTTGTTGCTTGCAGGTGAGCTTTAGCTGGTATCGCTGATGTGAGCGTCTGTTCTGGTGGGCTTATTAGAAGATGTTGCATCATCTGTCCACGACTTCATCATAATAAACCTGAGATCCTCTACATAGTCTAAGAAGACTTTAACGCCAAGATTGTAACCTCTACTACGATCTTTAAAACGGTTAGCTTCGAGACCTTTGATTTCAACTCTTTGAAGAGTGTTCCTTTCGGGACTCAAGTAGAAAACATAAAACGGCTTAGCTGAATTCCTCGTGGACAAAACAATATCACCTGTAGCAGTCATTCCAACGAAATGAGAAACATTTGGACCATTCAGATTTCGGGTTCTCAACATCCTTTACAACCCACAAACACAAGTCAGAGGAGCCATCTCCACCACGGTAACGGTAACGACTTCCAACATCCTCGAGAGTAACCACGCCTAATTTACCCTTGTAGCTGATCACTTTAATACGATGCTTATAAGAATCGTACAGATTAATACTGACATCTATATCTGTAAACCTGAATTTCTCAGACCTAATATCAAAGCAAACTATCATATAAAGTAGGATTCGTTTAGCTAAATAATACACAACCCCATTGATGCATATCCCTCCATCACTATCCGTAGGACAATGCTCTAAGGGACAATGGATCTTCCTCCACGGATCGTTTCCAGTTCCTATCGTCAAAATTCGATCCGGTTCTTCCTTTTCATTATACTGGTTAGGAAAGCTAATGCACAATACCTTGTATTGTTTGTCAATCGGATCAAACTCTAAAAAGCTTCTACAGTACTTCGTTTTCCCTTCAGGTAAAGGCAAGCTGGCGAGTTGTCCCGTGGTAGGGTTACATATCATATGCTCTTTACGCATATATCGTTTGAAATAGATTAAATCTGAGGCATGACCACAAACCTCTAGCCTGCCGTCTCCAGGGAACTTCATATGGAAATTTGGGGCTGCTACAAGAGATTTCTCATGTGGGTTCTCAAGAATTTGAGGCGACGTCAAAAAATAGAAATCATTATCGATTAGATTGACGACGTATAAGAGACGGGCCGAGGACCTGGTCCGGAACAAGTCGGTGAAATATGGACTGAGAAGCATGGAGTCCCATTGCTTCGACACGCAACGATCGACTTCGCAGGCAATCTCGAGAGTATCTCCATGACGAGATCCATCGGGATGGATTCTGAGTTCTGAGTAAATACCACCGGCTCTTCTAATCTAGGGTTTTAAAGGCAGCAATGTCTCCTGAAATAAGTAAGAAACCAAAAAGGGAAAGTAAACTCCAAAGCGTGGAAATAAAAAGTTTCTAAAATTAAAATCTAGTTTTGCAGGAAATATAAAAAAAAAAAAAAATTAAAACATAATGCTCTCTCGAAGCATGCATTCCATAATCTTTGAGAACGAAGACAAGCGACAAAATCAGATGTTTTTACAAGTAAGAAAATGTGAAGTCGGGTTAAGTATTCCCCACTTTTTCTTTCTCTTGATTCCGCACAGAGACTGTAGTTAGAAGTTACTATTTTATTAGCAACAATTTCCTTAGAATTGCTCTTTGTATGAAACTTTATATTCCTTTTACACTTCTCTCGCTACACTGATTCAAGAATCAGAGTTAAAGTTCATGACACCCCCTCCTTCTTTTTATCAATTTCTTTCGCTTTGTCATGTTTGTTTCATTTCATTATCTTCACCGTGTAGTTTTCACCGAGGGTCGAACAGAGACTCCATGTAACAGTTTAGCAAACCCGAAGAAGCTCAGTTTCCCATCTGTGTGTCTTATCCAATCATGAAGAACCGAATGTACGGTTATTGATGGTCCAACACCAAGCTCCTGCAACTCAAAAAAAAAACATGTCCGTGTCAGGCCTTAAGAGGAGAATATGTCTTTCTTATCATTTGTTGTATTAAAGGCCAAACCGAAACGACGCTTTTTGACTTACAGAGGCAAGTTCTTCAATGACAATAGCTCTGTTTCCATTCTTGTCGAAAAGCTCGTAAGCGTGACGAATGCTCTGTTCCCAACAATCAAGCGACTCTTGCTGATGAACGTTTATGGCAGCTGCACAAAACTCTTCGAAATCCATTCCTCTGTTTTGAAGCCCGTTTAGCTGTAAAACGCCAGTGATCGAAAGGGCTTTTTAACACCACCGTTAAAAAGTATTCTATCAAAATCTGAGAAACATACACAGAAACATTTTCTTTTACCAAAGCAAGAAACTCTGGGATTCGAGACTCCTTCATTGCCTCTGTTGCATTGCGTGAAAGTGCCTGCCAAGAACAGAAAAAGGATTAGACAACTACGCTGTTTTTATCGTCTTTCTAGAGGAATGAAAGACAAGTTTACATGTTTACAAACCAATCTAATGTTCTCCAATGTGATGAGGCCATCTTTATTTGGTGAAAGCAGAGAAAATTGAGTCTTCAAGTAAATAATTTCATCAGTGATTAGCGTCTTGGACAGAGCCTGTAAAGAAAGAAAGCACATAGTGAGAAAAACAGTCTTCAATGTTCTTTTCAACACTTAGAAAGAAAAAAAAAAAGGTGCTTGAATCATACTCTCAGAGCAGCTTTGCGCAATGAAGAAGATCGCAAGTAGGCCTTTATCTGCCTGAAGATCAGAATATCAAACGGGATATTCATGTCCGTATTATAACCTCGGATCCAAGGATGCACTGAAAAAAAAAAAAAGGTAGAAAGAAACTGGATTTGGTGATTTATGACTACAAAAAGAGAAAAACATAGATCTATTAAGAGCTATGAGATAAGAAAAGAAACTGACTCAAGGCTTGGGAGGCTGACATTCTTCTCCGGGGATCTTTATACAATAACCTCTTTACAAAGTCTTTAGCTTCAGAGGACAAGAAGGGCCAAGGAGCTTCATCGAAACTCGGGTCGGCTTTAAGAACCGCTCTGAAGATTCCGGACTCGGTTCTTGCCCAAAACGGACGGCTTCCACATAGTAGAATGTATGCTATGACTCCGATGCTCCATACATCCGCTTCTGTTGTATATGATCTGTGTAGAACTTCAGGTGCTACATAGTACGCACTTCCCACTATATCGTTGAGTCTTTCATCTTTGAAAAATAAAGAACACAAAAACACCATTTTATAGTTTCCTAACCAGAAGAAAAAGAGATGGAGTTATAGTAAAATACGATGATGAACCTGGTCTGACAAAATCTGATAAGCCAAAGTCTATGGCTTTAAGCTGGGAACTCTCATCCTTGGAAGTGTACAAGAAGTTCTGATGATTCAAAGAAAACATTCCGTAGGTAAGCTTAAGATAATGATATAATCTCTTCTTTTTGCTTCAAACAAAAATTGTGCCTCACCTCTGGTTTAAGATCTCGATGAACAACTCCTTGGAGATGACAGAAAGCTACAACATTTAGGATTTGTGTAATCACTGGTTTTGCATCATTCTCTGAGTATTTCCCTCCCCTGAAGAAAAAAGATTGAAACTTCAGAACAATCTCTGATCCTATGTTTCCCAAAAATATCAATAACTCTTTTGTAATACACACCTTGCTAATATTCTGTCAAGTAGTTCACCACCTTCACATAGCCTGCAAATTCAAACTACTTTAAGGTTCTTTTTTACCAAAAACAAACTTAAAATCCATATGATTGAGCATCAGGCAACGGAATTTTCTTACTCCATCGCAATGTAGACATTGGCATTGTCCTCAAATGCATCGTAGAACTGTACCAGATTCTTATGTCCAGATAAAGCCTGTAGAATTTTCACTTCCCTTCTCACATCTTCTATAGCAATTGCAGTTGTCATCTGCCAATATTCTAATCTATCAACTACACTACAATGGAGTAGCTATGCAATCATCAAGAGCAAGAAACTAACTAAGCTAATTGAGAATTAAAAAAGAGTCAATTTCAAGATTTTTGACCTTAGATTTTGGAATGATCTTAACAGCAACCACTTGACCCTTGAGCTCTCCTTTCTTGAATTTAGCAGAACAAGTATACCCGAAATGCCCTCGACCGATCTCTTCGCCTAACTCTACTCTACTGTGAAACTCCTTCGAAAAACCAAATCTTTTGTCAAGCCCTAATTCATCTTCCTCCTCCTGCGGCGGAATCTCCGTCGCTTGCTGCGGCGGAACCTCCTTTTTTCCCTTCCTCCGCCGTAACGCCGCCCGTATGTGTTTCGCCGGAGACGGTGGGTGAAACGCACGCCGTAAGTGACGGAGCGGCGTGCTGGTCACGCTCTTGCTCTCTCCTGCTCCGCCGCCGACGTCACGGCTCTTATTGCGGCGGTGGCGAGCAGGGCTCGGCGTGTAGAAGGGGAAGAAAGGAGAGGCCTTTGCGGCGGAAGGGGTAGGAAGTGGTGAATTATCGAGATGGGTAGGGGTAATATTGTCAATTTGGGGATAGTCGTTTCCGGGAAAGAAAGGGTTGTTAGGTCTGCCGGAGGTGGAGGGTTTGGAGGTACAGCCTCCCATAATCTCCGGCGAAAGCAAGAAGAAGAAAAGGAAGCTGATTTATGGAAATATCACAGTAATGCCATAAAAGTTCTGGTTTCTAGAAGTGTAGAGAAGAGAGAGAGAGAGATCCAAGATCACATGAGAGAATCAGGAGGAAGTGAAGTTGTGAAACTGTTAGAATTGAATTTGAATCTGAAAATGGGGGTAGTAATTAGTTGCTTTCTGCCACGTATTAATTGTCTTAATTTATTACATTTGTTAAATTTTCGATCTGTTGTTTGGTCATGCCAATACATTTTGTTTATTTTATTAATGAAGTCATTTTTTTCAACGGTAGTGAGATCATTTTTCTGTACAAATTTGTTTAAATTCGATTGAATGAAGAAGCAGAGAGGTCTTTAAATAAAGAAAATATAGCTAACAGTTGGTGGTTATAATTAAGGACAATTAAGTATGTAACATTGTAGCTACTCCTACCTTTTTTCATATTTTTGAATACATGTGTATCTATATATTTAAAAAAATGTATAGTTTTTAAGTTAAATATCATAATGAATAGTATTTTCTCTGTTCTAACAGTATGATGTTTTGGCTTGTTTATACAAATTAAAAAATAGTTATTTTTTGTTATAAATGTATTATTTTCTTACAATCATAACTGTTAACCAATACTAGTAATTTAATAATTTAAATAGTTTTACTTACTTTTCATGAAATCTACACAAAAAATATTTAATATTTTATAACATTAATTTTGGTGGAACAAAAAAAAAATCTAAAATATCAAGCATTTAGGAACGAAGAAAATAGTAATTTGTACCGTGTTATAGTTATAAATATTTCTGCCGTTGGACTAATCATCTCTACAGTCAATTTTAAATTGTTATTGGACAGTTATACATGTTTAATGAGTTGTTAATTATCTATACAAATGTTAATAAAAATAACGGTGAAAAATTCAGCATAACAATAGTTACAAAAAAAAAAAAAAAAATTCAGCATAACAAACTCATAGTCTAGCAGTTGAAAGATTCACTACGAGGTTAGAGCTAGAGTTCAAGTAGTCTCATTTTTAGTTGTGAGTATAAACTAGCTAGATAATTGTGTAGTTTATGAGAACATCAGGACAAATTAGATTTTATTTTTCCTGGTTATGTGTTTTTGCTAGTAATTTATTTAACATGATGATGTGTATAACCTAACTACTCCATTGTATTTTAAAATTAGCTTATCTGATGTATTTTTCTTTGGACTATATATGTATATGATGTATTTTTTTTTATTATTTCCACTAACTCTCCTTTTTGATAAACTCTTGAAGTCGTTGGAGAAAAATAAGTGGTTTTAAATCTCTGTCTTCCAATCAGCAATCAGCAAGCAATACCTACAAAGTTGGTTGCTTCCATTTGGATTTGATGGAAATTCATGTCATCATTCAATGCTTAATTGCTTCATTTTTAATTCATAGAAGAAAAACCCGTAATTTTTCTGATAAAAATAAGCATTAATTCTGAATTTAAAGTGGAAATACTAGAAATGTAGTTTGCTAGCTTGCATTTGGGCTTTGATAAATATGTATTTTCATCATTTATTTTCCAACTATATGTACATTTCAAGAATTATATCAATTTCGAAGACTCTAACTATATTTTTAAGGTGTTTCTGTTCTTTTCACGATAGATGTTTGGTTGTTGTGATAGATAGTATATATTTATTGATACACATAATCATTCAATGCTTACGTTAAAAAACCTATGAAACAGTTTGATATTTCGAAACAAAAACCAAAAAAAAATTCCGAAAGTATATGTATAAAGTTTAGTATAAGTTAACTTTGACCATTAGATAAAAACCAAATCGACTACAAAATATAATTACATAAGCATATGTTTATTATACAAGTGAGGGAGTTCGATATTTGGGATATAACACATACTAAGACAAATACATATTCCATTACACACAATACAACTCCAAGTGTATTTTTTTTTTTTTTTTGTCTCTGTGATCCATAATAGACAGATAAAGCTGATTTTACACCATATATATTTATATATGAACATTTTTTATTCATGGACTTTGGTCTATATTTATTCATTTTAAAAGCTAGATTAGTTCTAGATATGTTGGCGTTCAAAGGAGTACCCATTTAACTTAACCTGGAAATCCACATTTTGCTCTAATCACTCCATCAGTTCCGGTCATAACTCCGATCTTCCCCATTTTGACCATTGAAACCGCAAAATCCCTCGAGAACAAGTACGGATTCTCGCTGTACGATTTCACCATTGCAGCAGCCGTAGAATCCGTCATTAGGGTTTGGTCGGAATCGAGCAGTCCAACGTTGTTCATTAGGTTCACGTAGTATGCATTGTCGAACTTGACGGCAGTAGCTGCGTCGAGAGCAGCAAGTTTAGAGTTAGATGAGTCCACGTTAGGACACGTGTCCTTTAGCTTAGAGAGAAGAGCCGAGGAGGCGGCTAGGTTCGGATCAGGCTGGCCTGAGCCCTTGAAGTTGAAGAGCCTGTGCTTGAACACGAAACATTGTGCAAATCCTATAGTATGTGCTCCTGCATACGTGTATTTAGCCATAAAATAGTGTAAGTCGAAAAGAATCATGTATATGTCAAATGATGAACTATACTCACAATAAAAATTTTTTATGGATTTGCCACTCCAATTTTGTTTTAAAATTATGAATATTTATATTTTGTTTTTAATACAAAAGTCAATCGAATTTACTTTTTAATCCTTACAATTTATTATTCTTATTTTCATATGTAAGTATTTGGCAAAAAAGAAAAGTATATATAATTGTGAATTTGACACTCGTATTGATATATATTTGAAGTTGATAATGTATGAACCAAACCTGAGAGGACAACAACATCTTTGAGGTCGAGTCCAAGGGACACGAACTTGGCCGTTATATTCTCCAACGGCTCAAACGGTGACGGCAGATTTGTATTCGCCGCTTGCTCACTCGCCGTCAACGAGTCTCTTCTCCCCAACGGCACCGGCCAAAACGGCCCTCCGGTCTACACATGGCAAAAGAAGCCATGCATACATATGATTAACAACCGATATCCATAACATAGTATATGTATAATCTGATACGTTTTATATTTATATTAGCGGTGTCAAGATCACACATACGAGGACGACGGCTTCTCTAGCTGCAAGAGCAACTATGTCGGCGCATGAAACAGTTAAGGGACAAGAGCTTTCAATATCAGATTTAATGTCTTCAATGACTTCGAAACCACGAACTGAGTTTCGGTTTGGCCTAGCGTTCTTCTCTCCTTTGAAATCCTCTGAATCCTCCAGAAGAATTGAGCCATCACAACCCTACGTACAACAAAATTTAATTACATTTTTAATAACTATAGAGAAAGTGAAAAACATAATACTATTATAGAAAAAGTATATGTTTGGTACACTATATGTCTTGAGTAATTAGCCTTTTAGTTTAGTAGTTTTCAGTACAACTCTGTGTTTATGTTTTTATAATATCCTTAATCCATATGTATAAATTTCGTATAATGCATACACGGCTTAAATGTTAATATACATGTATATATATAGAACTTGAGTGACCACTGACTAGCCTTTTAGTTTAGTAGTTTTCAATAAAACTACTACGTGTTTATGTTTTTATAATACCCATATATATATATATATATATATATATATTTCGTATAATGCACACACGGTTTAAATGTTAATATACATAGAGTATATATGAGTGTTATATATTAATCCACAGTGCGTGAACATGAAAAGAAAGTGTTGCGTAACTTACATTGACAAAACAATCGTGGAAATGGAGACGGAGAAGAGACGCAGCGATTCTAGAATCATCTTTAAAAGCTCTCCAAACTCCGGACTTAACAATCATCTGTAGACGAGGACACGACCGGTCATAGAATCGATAGTCGAGATTGCTAATTAGTCCGTATCCCTGAGAACCGTGACCATTATTATAACCATTATTATATCCTGAAGGAAACGAGGAAACGGAATCGTTGAAGAGAATGGTTAAGATTGCTAGGTGAGTAGTAAACCAATACGAAAAGATTTTGCGATCCATGATGATGAAATAAAAAGATGGATGATGATCGTAGATTGATTGTGTATTACTATGATGATTTCAGCTTGTATTTATACACCAAAACAAGGTGTGTATTTTTTTGTTTTTTAATAGAAAAGCCTTAAGGGTGCGCCTCGGAGATGCATGCATAATTAGGAAAGTGGGAGTGCCACTATAAATAAGATAATACAGTGGGATAAATTTTGAGGTTTTGTAATATTTGGTTTTTTGTCAGTTAGTTCAGTCACTTGGCAAAATAAATTATTAACCATTTTAGCATGTGATTTTATCTCAAATTAAGATGTCATATAGCATAATAAGCCATACAACGTCATACAAACTTCAATTAAAAACCAGAATTTTCGAATGTATTCTGAAGTTTTTTGAATAGTGGGAAATTCAGTGCATCAAATAATCTAAACTAATTATCTCTAATGCCCCACTTTCTTTTTTTTTATTGATAACGTTGGGGGCATTTGGTGTGTTCAACGCAGCCAATGTTTTATACAACAAAGTAGCAAAGTACAAAAACCCAAGTAGAAATATATATAGTTGAATTAGTACATATGGTATAAGGACTCAGATTCCAACAGTGCTTTGTTGTCTATTCTATTGTCAAGCCTGACCAGGCTAGCCACGTCAAGGGGAGCAAGCTTAGTGTCCATGTCAGGAAACGTGCCCTTTAAATCTGAGAGAAGAGCCAAGGAGGCAGCTAGGTTCAAATCTGGCTCAGCCTCTTTTTGGTTATAATCCAGATGTTTTGAATGTGAACTTCTCGGACCGAGATTTTAAGCAGGTTAGATTAGATATTAATATATTATCTATTACATATTTATCACACTTGTTCTTGCATTTTCTAAATATGAATTTGTAAAAGTCTGATAAATAAAGAAAGTTATCCATCTGACATTAAGAGGATTGCGCAACATATTCCACTACCCATTTTGGAAAGCTTACTTGAAACTCGAAAGTATACTCGAAGACTTGAGAACCAAATTACATTGATTGGCCAGAGATTCCATAACTTTCCAGTTTCCACAACCAAAGTGGATTTGTGACATTTTATGAACTAATTGGGGGCTGCATATCCATCAGTGCGTCTCATTCTATTATCAACTATAATAATCATCTCCTTATTCACATTTTTAAAAGACTAATTTATTCACTAAGATTTGTAACTGTGGAGGCTTCTTTGTCAAATGGTTGACCAATAGGTTACTAATATTTTTACACTAAATTCCTGGATGCTTCCTAAGAGTGTGAATTATACATATTAATAACAACAAGCTTATATATAACATGGTGCAAGTAAAGTCATTAATCATGGTTCTGTCAAGAGTAAAGCTGTCCCATTTGTTAAGGATGAAACCTGTTTATCATATATAAAATTACTCGTTGTGTAATAAAAAAAATTGTTCAAAAGATATAACTAATGACAAAAAAACAAAACAAACGGTTTATATGGTATGCAATTTTTTTCATGTTTTCATATTTTAAAGACATGATTTTGCTAATTTTTACTATTTATATAATTCATCATGTTTTTAAAACGTAGTTTTTCTAATATGTTAAATATATAACTAAAAATAAAACGTGTTTAATCTATGAAAATAGCTTTTCAATATTTTATAATTATATCAGAAAAAAACCCGTTCAATTCGTTTTGCTAATATTTTTTTTGTTATTCTACTATTTATCTCATATCACTCAGACTCTAAAATTTGTAGTTAAGTAATGGTTATTATGTGAATTTCGTAACATTGGGAGGAAATTGGTAAATAATATTGGCTTATTCAATGTTTTTTTCTAATATTACCATATGATGTCTAGCCGGAAATTTAATCATATATATAATTACCAAAACTTCTCTCTATCTAAACTGTCCAAATTAGTATTTTTTAATTTTTTAATGAGCTTCTACATATTTTTTTCTTTTTAATCGATTTTTACATACATATTTTAAGAATGCATTTTTTTAGCTTTCATATGATATTAATTTTTTTTAAAAAACACGAATACTTATTTTTAAAACCGTAAAATTTACAATTTTTATCAAATAAAAGAATTAAAATTTAATTTGGAATAAAAATAAAGAGAATGGGGAAAAGGAGAATTAAAATTTATCAAAAAAAGAAATAAAATTTATCAAAAAAATGAGAATGTGGAAAAAGAGTTGCAATCGACCAAGTACTTAAGATGACAGAAAAAATTTGTGGAGAATAGTTATCAAATTAAAAAAAAAACAATAGTTCATAAAGATTTATGAATAAAACTAAAATCATTCATATAAAACAAATACTTATTCTCTTAACCATAAAAACTACAAATTCTCTTTGAAATAAAAAAGATTCAAATTGTTATTATGATTATAAACAAAGAGAATATGCAAAAAAGTTGTAATGTTGGAATGTAGATATCCGGTTCTGCACGAATCATTGAAAGCATGTTTTATAACCGTGTAGAAGGAACATATATTTATTTCAAGATCTTTTACGGGTGTTTTAAGTCGGTTTTCAATTGATCACTATATTTTCAATCTTCAAAAGTTATTAAAAGGTAATTTGGGCGAAAAAATATATTTTGGAGCTACTTATATGTTTTTCTATTATAAAATTTGACGAATTATTTGTTGTTTTATACTATTATTGGAATTAGATTTATTTTTACCATATTTGTTTTCTACTGGTTAAAATAAATTTATTACATATGCCTAAATTTTATTGACTTAGATAATGATTTATAATTTACGATATTATTATTTGTAAAACAAAAACTAATAACCAAATGTAGTAAACACAATTAAATCACTTATAAATATAGAAAAATAAGATTGAGATTAACACAAATCCTTCTTAAATTTTCAGTTTGGAGTATTATGAGAATAATTTGTTTTTATTTTGTAAACATATACTCTCTCCGTTTCATAAAGAGTGTCACTTTGACATTTTTCATACAAATTAAGAAAATAATTAAATTTTTTGTTTCACTCCTTGTTTACACATAAAATAATATTTTCTTTCTAATTAAAACAGTACAATTTAAAGGTTAAAACTGGATATCTATTCAAAATTATGCATTGTAAATGTAAAGTGACACTCTTTATTAAAAAAAAAACTTTATAATGACACTTATTTTAAATGGAAGGAGTGTAATGTAAATTGTTTTTTGGTAATAGATAAACAATTATAAAAAAGAGATTATATGATCAATTTAATTATTTATAGTAAGTTATTAATTAATTTGATACATGAGGTTAAATTAACAATTATTTTAATTTACTAATGAAACTAATCTTGGTATTATTGAATATCAAAATCTTTTTCTAGCTTGTTAAATTAGTATTAAAGATAAATTTGGGGTTATGCAGTTAATGAAATATATAAATTTTTGATTTTAAACATTAATATTTAATAATTATCTACCAGATATTTTGATTCATATATTTTAGCTTTGATATAATTTAGATATACTAAATATTTTAATACATATAATAATATATCTATATATATATTTCTAAAATATGTCCATTCCAATACTTTTTAAAATAACATTTTCATATTTCAAAATGTTTTATTTCTGCGACTCTGTTTCCATTTACATATAATTCAAATCAAAATATATATTACATTTTTATTGATTAACTTGACATGTATTGTAATTATAATAATAATCTTAAAACGGAAAATTATTTAGGAATTTGGTTTCTCATCGAATTAACTTATGGTATATTAATACTTATCGATTAACTTTGACATGTGATAACATATAAAAATTGAGAGGATAATATTCTGGAATCTGAAAACTAATCTTTATTATTTTCTAGTTTTTTTTTTTGTATTTTTGACTATACATTCATTTTTTTCCTTTCAACACATTGATTCTTTCCTTTTTTTACCAAAACAAATAAGAGACTAAAAGCTGTACTTTAACCCAAAAAATAATTGATAACCTTTTGTTGTATTTTATTTTGTATATAATTTTATTTCCTATGACCTTCAAATTCTAAGCATGACTCTCCATATAAGGTCGGGATCTCTATACTGATTTCTTAACAGTTATCACATATTAATCACAAAATCCTAGGTGCTTATCTGGCAGATAATCCCTTGGTTACAAAGTAACCGTTGCTAAAGGATAACAATAAAGTCAATACAAATCTGAAATCTCTGTAATTAAGGCGGAGAATTTTCTATATTAGTAATCACAGATAATTCTTTGGTTGTAAAAGATAACAAAAAAGTCTATATAAGTCTCGACTCTCTCTATCTCTTTTTGTGTCATAAACGTAAACATATAATTAAACATGTCAACACTCAATAACACTACTCCGGTTAACGGTGTTTCCCCATCCTCCATCATTCGAGCTTCCATCATCCAAGCCTCTACCGTCTATAACGATACTCCAAAAACTATAGGTATTTCATTTTTTTCCAATAACATTTTTTGAACCAATCAAACTCTTTGGTAAAGATGTCAAAATTTAATCAAATGGTTTACTTCAATTTGCAGAAAAGGCAGAGAAGCTGATTGCCGAGGCGGCCAGTGGGGGCTCGGAGCTGGTGGTGTTCCCGGAGGCATTTATCGGTGGCTATCCTCGTGGCTTTAGGTTTGGTATGGGGGTTGGTGTTTTTAACGAAGATGGTCGTGATGAGTTCAGAAAGTATCATGCTTCTGCCATTCATGTTCCTGGTAAAGAAACTTCAATCTGTACATGCTCTTTCTTTCCTCCTTTGACTCTATTTTCTTATCAACATATCATGCATGTATAATAATTATCCAGAAAATAATTTTTTCTACATTTAACTTCAAATTTAATTGAGTTTAAATCCAACCTCCCCTGTTATATTGATTAATAATGAGAAATTGTGATCTTATATATTTTGTACAAAAAATAGTTCTATTTTTTTCCTAGTGCATATTTTGTTTTCTAGTGAGCATCTCTAGCTTATGTTTTTATTTATTGATCAATTAGTATTGCTTATATATATATCAGCTTGTGTTATATATATTATCAATTAACAATTGAGTTTTATCTATTAAACTTAACTTTGAGGAAAAACTAGTTTGTTTTATGGGTTATCTGTTTACGAAAGTTTTAGACTGAAACAGAACAAAGTATCTGTGATTTTGAATCCAAATATTAACTTTCACTTGCAAAAGAAGCAAAGTGACTCTTTCTTGCACATTTATACAGGCCCTGAAGTTAAAAAACTGGCGGAAATTGCTAGAAAATACAATGTGTACTTGGTGATGGGGGCTATAGAGAAGGATGGATATACACTCTACTGCACAGCCCTTTTCTTCAGTTCGGAAGGTCGGTTCTTGGGGAAGCACCGTAAACTCATGCCAACAACTACTGAACGTTGCATTTGGGGTTACGGGGATGGATCAACCATCCCTGTTTATGACACTCCCTTAGGGAAACTCGGTGCTGCTATTTGCTGGGAAAATAGAATGCCTCTCTACAGAACTGCATTGTACGCAAAAGGTTAGTCATGAGTTCAAGAATATTTAAAATATTCTAGCTCAAAACTAGTTTGATTTTAACCAATTTCTTTTTAAATAATATATAATTTTTTTTATCCATCTAAACTTTGAATCCCTTTTTAGCGTCGTGAAAATATCTTATTCGAAAAAATATAGGCTTTGATACCATATTAATATATTCATGAACTTCTATTTTCTAAAATAATTTTTTTATGAGTGGAACTGGCTCGATTGTCCCATATATATTGTAAAGCTCCTAACAATTTCGATTTTGGGCTGTACTAGGAGTTGAGATTTATTGTGCTCCTACTGCTGATGGTTCGAAAGAATGGCAATCTTCTATGCTTCACATTGCGCTCGAGGGTGGTTGCTTCGTGTTGTCGGCCTGCCAGTTCTGTCGGCGTAAAGATTTTCCTGAACATCCTGATTACTTGTTTACCGACTGGTACGATGACCAAGAACCTGATTCTATTGTGTCTCAAGGCGGTAGTGTCATCATTTCACCATTGGGAAAGGTTCTTGCTGGACCAAACTTTGAATCAGAGGGTCTCATCACAGCTGATCTTGGTATGTATACTTTTCTTTGATATTCATCTTGTGTTTTAGTCAAGAAAATGATAATATGTTTACCTAATCAAGTCGATAAAACAAAATTCTCATCCAGATCTTGGTGATGTCGCAAGAGCCAAGTTATACTTCGATGTGGTGGGACATTACTCGAAGCCTGAGGTTTTTAACTTGACAGTAAATGAGCACCCAAAGAAACCAGTTACATTCGTGTCAACATCGGTGAGAGTGGAGGATGACTTGGAGCCTCAAGACAAATAATCAAGATCTAAAGCTCATCAATGTATCCTCTCCATAACTGCTGGAGTTAATGTCAATCATATATTTATATCATGTTCAACATTATTCTGTTAAGCTTGTTTATGTTTATGTTCAATAATATAAGAACCAGTTGGGTAAAACCAATTAGTTTTTCTCTTTTCTTTAAGTATCATGGAAGCTATTTTAAAGTTTTATACACCCCTATAATAAGTTTTCTTTTGCTGATAAAATGTTATTACGATGTTTAATCAATAGTGATTCTACAGAATATATATACATATATATATATATATTGTTTGTAGCATCAAACATGTTTTGAATTTTTTAAAATTGATACAAATTTTAAAATATTTGATAAATAATTCTAAACAATAATGTATCGTTCATTATAGAATATATAAACTACAATATTAGGTTTTTAATTATCAATATAATAATCATCTCCTTATTCACATTTTTAAAAGACTAATTTATTCACTAAGATTTGTAACTGTAGAGGCTTCTTTGTCAAATGGTTGACCAATAGTTTACTAATATTTTACACTAAATTCCGGGATGCTTCCTAAGAGTGTGAATTATACATATTAATAACGACAAGCTTATATATAACATGGTGCAAGTAAAGTCATTAATCATAGATCTGTCAAGAGTAAAGTTGTACCATTTGTTAAGGGCAAAACCTTTTTATCATATATAAAATTACTCGGTGTGTAATAAGAAAAAATTGTTCAAAAGATATAACTAATGAAAAAAAACAAAAAAACAGTTTTTATGGTATGCAATTTTTTCATGTTTTAAAGACATAATTTTGCTAATTTTTACTATTTATATAATTCATCATGTTTTTAAAACGTAGTTTTTCTAATATGTTAAAAATATAATTAAAAATAAAATGTGATTAATCTATTAAAAGTAGCTTTTCAATGTTTTATAATTATTCAAAAAAAAAATCAGTTCAATTCGTTCTACTAATATTTTTTTTGTTATTCTACTATTTATCTCATATCACTCAGACTCTAAAATTTGTAGTTAAATAATGGTTTTTATGTGGATTTCGTAATATTGGGAGGAAATTGGTAAATGGTATTGGCTTATTCATTGTTTTTCCTAATATTACCATATGATGTCTAGCCAAAAATTTCAAACTAATCATATATATACTTAGCAAAATTCTCTCTATCTAAACAGTCCAAATTAGTATTTTTTAATTTTTTAATGAGCTTCTACATATTTTGTTCTTTTTAATCATTTTTTACATAGATATTTTAAGAATGCATTTTTGGATTTTATATGATATTAATTTAAAATAAAAACATGAATACTTATTTTTAAAACCTAAAAATTACAATTTTTATCAAATAAAAGAATTAAAATTTAATTTGGAATAAAAATAAACAGAATGTGGAAAAGGAGAATTAAAATTTATCAAAAAAGATATAAAATTCATAAAAAAAATAGAATGTAGAAAAAGAGTTGCAAGCGACCAAATACTTAAGATGACAGAAAGAATTTGTGGAGAATAGTTATCAAATTAAAAAAAAAAAACAATAGTTCAGAAAGATTTATGCATAAAACTAAAATCATTCATATAAAACAAATATCTATTCTCTTAACCTTAAAAACTACAAATTCTCTATGAAATAAATGATTCAAATTGTTATTATGATTATAAACAAAGAGAATGTCCAAAAAAGTTAAAATGTTGGAATGTAGATATCCGGTTCTGCACGAATTATTGAAAGCATGTTTTGTAACTGTGTAGATTTTGAATACAAAGAGCATTTTGGACATCTTCCGATCACTATAATAAACAAACTCCGATCACTATAACAAATAAAATAAAATATAAAATATAAAATAAAATCAGATCATTTGTCTGAAAAAAATTAAATTAATATTAAAACATCAAAACCAAAAAATATAAAATTCAATTTTTTTTATTATTCTCAATTGTTTTAAATTAAACTCCTACATATTATAAAATATTTAAGATTTTTATATTCTAATTAATTAGGTTTATTAATAATATTTAGCTACTTATATATTTTTCTATTATAAAATTTGACGATTTTTTTGTTGTTTTATATTATTATTGGAATTAGATTTATTTTTACCATATTTGTTTTCTACTGGTTAAAATAAATTTATTACATATGCCTAAATTTTATTGACTTAGATAATGATTTATAATTTACGATATTATTATTTGTAAAACAAAAACTAATAACCAAATGTAGTAAACACAATTAACTCACTTATAAATATAGAAAAATAAGATTGAGATTAACACAAATCCTTCTTAAATTTTCAGTTTGGAGTATTATGAGAATAATTTGTTTTTATTTTGTAAACATATACTCTCTCCGTTTCATAAAGAGTGTCACTTTGACACTTTTCCTACAAATTAAGAAAATAATTAAATTTTTTGTTTCACTCCTTGTTTACACATAAAATAATATTTTCTTTCTAATTAAAACAGTATAATTTAAAGGTTAAAACTGGATATCTATTCAAAATTATGCATTGTAAATGTAAAGTGACACTCTTTATTAAAAAAAAAACTTTAGAATGACACTTATTTTAAATGGAAGGAGTGTAATGTAAATTGTTTTTTGGTAATAGATAAACAATTATAAAAAAGAGATTATATGATCAATTTAATTATTTATAGTAAGTTATTAATTAATTTGATACATGAGGTTAAATTAACAATTATTTTAATTTACTAATGAAACTAATCTTGGTATTATTGAATATCAAAATCTTTTTCTAGCTTGTTAAATTAGTATTAAAGATAAATTTGGGGTTATGCAGTTAATGGAATATATAAATTTTTGATTTTAAACATTAATATTTAATAATTATCTACCAGATATTTTGATTCATATATTTTAGCTTTGATATAATTTAGATATACTAAATATTTTAATACATATAATAATATATGTATATATATTTCTAAAATATGTCCATTCCAATACTTTTTAAAATAACATTTTCATATTTCAAAATGTTTTATTTCTGCGACTCTGTTTCCATCTACATATAATTCAAATCAAAATATATATTACATTTTTATTGATTAACTTGACATGTATTGTAATTATAATAATAATTTTAAAACGGAAAATTATTTAGGAATTTGGTTCCTCATCGAATTAACTTATGGTATATTAATACTTATCGATTAACTTTGACATGTGATAACATATAAAAATTGAGAGGATAATATTCTGGAATCTGAAAACTAATCTTTATTATTTTCTAGTTTTTTTTTTTTGTATTTTTGACTATACATTCATTTTTTTCCTTTCAACACATTGATTCTTTTCTTTTTTTACCAAAAAAAATAAGAGACTAAAAGCTGTACCTTAACCCAAAAAATAATTGATAACCTTTTGTTGTATTTTATTTTGTATATAATTTATTTCCTATGACCTTCAAATTCTAAGCATGACTCTCCATATAAGGTCGGGATCTCTATACTGATTTCTTAACAGTTATCACATATTAATCACAAAATCCTAGGTGCTTATCTGGCAGATAATCCCTTGGTTACAAAGTAACCGTTGCTAAAGGATAACAATAAAGTCAATACAAATCTGAAATCTCTGTAATTAAGGCGGAGAATTTTCTATATTAGTAATCACAGATAATTCTTTGGTTGTAAAAGATAACAAAAAAGTCTATATAAGTCTCGACTCTCTCTATCTCTTTTTGTGTCATAAACGTAAACATATAATTAAACATGTCAACACTCAATAACACTACTCCGGTTAACGGTGTTTCCCCATCTTCCATCATTCGAGCTTCCATCATCCAAGCCTCTACCGTCTATAACGATACTCCAAAAACTATAGGTATTTCATTTTTTTCCAATAACATTTTTTGAACCAATCAAACTCTTTGGTAAAGATGTCAAAATTTAATCAAATGGTTTACTTCAATTTGCAGAAAAGGCAGAGAAGCTGATTGCCGAGGCGGCCAGTGGGGGCTCGGAGCTGGTGGTGTTCCCGGAGGCATTTATCGGTGGCTATCCTCGTGGCTTTAGGTTTGGTATGGGGGTTGGTGTTTTTAACGAAGATGGTCGTGATGAGTTCAGAAAGTATCATGCTTCTGCCATTCATGTTCCTGGTAAAGAAACTTCAATCTGTGCATGCTCTTTCTTTCCTCATTTGACTCTATTTTCTTATCAACATATCATGCATGTATAATAATTATCCAGAAAATGATTTTTTCTACATTTAACTTCAAATTTAATTGAGTTTAAATCCAACCTCCCCTGTTATATTGATTAATAATGAGAAATTGTGATCTTATATATTTTGTACAAAAAATAGTTCCATTTTTTTCCTAGTGCATATTTTGTTTTCTAGTGAGCATCTCTAGCTTATGTTTTTATTTATTGATCAATTAGTATTGCTTATATATATCAGCTTGTGTTATATATATTATCAATTAACAATTGAGTTTTATCTATTAAACTTAACTTTGAGGAAAAACTAGTTTGTTTTATGGGTTATCTGTTTACGAAAGTTTTAGACTGAAACGGAACAAAGTATCTGTGATTTTGAATCCAAATATTAACTTTCACTTGCAAAAGAAGCAAAGTGACTCTTTCTTGCACATTTATACAGGCCCTGAAGTTAAAAAACTGGCGGAAATTGCTAGAAAATACAATGTGTACTTGGTGATGGGGGCTATAGAGAAGGATGGATATACACTCTACTGCACAGCCCTTTTCTTCAGTTCGGAAGGTCGGTTCTTGGGGAAGCACCGTAAACTCATGCCAACAACTACTGAACGTTGCATTTGGGGTTACGGGGATGGATCAACCATCCCTGTTTATGACACTCCCTTAGGGAAACTCGGTGCTGCTATTTGCTGGGAAAATAGAATGCCTCTCTACAGAACTGCATTGTACGCAAAAGGTTAGTCATGAGTTCAAGAATATTTAAAATATTCTAGCTCAAAACTAGTTTGATTTTAACCAATTTCTTTTTAAATAATATATAATTTTTTTTATCCATCTAAACTTTGAATCCCTTTTTAGCGTCGTGAAAATATCTTATTCGAAAAAATATAGGCTTTGATACCATATTAATATATTCATGAACTTCCATTTTCTAAAATAATTTTTTTATGAGTGGAACTGGCTCGATTGTCCCATATATATTGTAAAGCTCCTAACAATTTCGATTTTGGGCTGTACTAGGAGTTGAGATTTATTGTGCTCCTACTGCTGATGGTTCGAAAGAATGGCAATCTTCTATGCTTCACATTGCGCTCGAGGGTGGTTGCTTCGTGTTGTCGGCCTGCCAGTTCTGTCGGCGTAAAGATTTTCCTGAACATCCTGATTACTTGTTTACCGACTGGTACGATGACCAAGAACCTGATTCTATTGTGTCTCAAGGCGGTAGTGTCATCATTTCACCATTGGGAAAGGTTCTTGCTGGACCAAACTTTGAATCAGAAGGTCTCATCACAGCTGATCTTGGTATGTATACTTTTCTTTGATATTCATCTTGTGTTTTAGTCAAGAAAATGATAATATGTTTACCTAATCAAGTCGATAAAACAAAATTCTCATCCAGATCTTGGTGATGTCGCAAGAGCCAAGTTATACTTCGATGTGGTGGGACATTACTCGAAGCCTGAGGTTTTTAACTTGACAGTAAATGAGCACCCAAAGAAACCAGTTACATTCGTGTCAACATCGGTGAGAGTGGAGGATGACTTGGAGCCTCAAGACAAATAATCAAGATCTAAAGCTCATCAATGTATCCTCTCCATAACTGCTGGAGTTAATGTCAATCATATATTTATGTCATGTTCAACATTATTCTGTTAAGCTTGTTTATGTTTATGTTCAATAATATAAGAACCAGTTGGGTAAAACCAATTAGTTTTTCTCTTTTCTTTAAGTATCATGGAAGCTATTTTAAAGTTTTATACACCCCTATAATAAGTTTTCTTTTGCTGATAAAATGTTATTATGATGTTTAATCAATTGTGATTCTACAGAATATATATACATATATATATATATATATATATTGTTTGTAGCATCAAACATGTTTTGAATTTTTTAAAATTGATACAAATTTTAAAATATTTGATAAATAATTCTAAACAATAATGTATCGTTCATTATAGAATATATAAACTACAATATTAGGTTTTTAATTATCAATATAATAATCATCTCCTTATTCACATTTTTAAAAGACTAATTTATTCACTAAGATTTGTAACTGTAGAGGCTTCTTTGTCAAATGGTTGACCAATAGGTTACTAATATTTTTACACTAAATTCCGGGATGCTTCCTAAGAGTGTGAATTATACATATTAATAACGACAAGCTTATATATAACATGGTGCAAGTAAAGTCATTAATCATAGATCTGTCAAGAGTAAAGTTGTACCATTTGTTAAGGGCAAAACCTTTTTATCATATATAAAATTACTCGGTGTGTAATAAGAAAAAATTGTTCAAAAGATATAACTAATGAAAAAAAACAAAAAAACAGTTTTTATGGTATGCAATTTTTTCATGTTTTAAAGACATAATTTTGCTAATTTTTACTATTTATATAATTCATCATGTTTTTAAAACATAGTTTTTCTAATATGTTAAAAATATAATTAAAAATAAAATGTGATTAATCTATTAAAAGTAGCTTTTCAATGTTTTATAATTATTCAAAAAAAAAAATCAGTTCAATTCGTTCTACTAATATTTTTTTTGTTATTCTACTATTTATCTCATATCACTCAGACTCTAAAATTTGTAGTTAAATAATGGTTTTTATGTGGATTTCGTAATATTGGGAGGAAATTGGTAAATGGTATTGGCTTATTCATTGTTTTTCCTAATATTACCATATGATGTCTAGCCAAAAATTTCAAACTAATCATATATATACTTAGCAAAATTCTCTCTATCTAAACAGTCCAAATTAGTATTTTTTAATTTTTTAATGAGCTTCTACATATTTTGTTCTTTTTAATCATTTTTTACATAGATATTTTAAGAATGCATTTTTTGGATTTTATATGATATTAATTTAAAATAAAAACATGAATACTTATTTTTAAAACCTAAAAATTACAATTTTTATCAAATAAAAGAATTAAAATTTAATTTGGAATAAAAATAAACAGAATGTGGAAAAGGAGAATTAAAATTTATCAAAAAAGATATAAAATTCATAAAAAAAAATAGAATGTGAAAAAAGAGTTGCAAGCGACCAAATACTTAAGATGACTGAAAAAATTTGTGGAGAATAGTTATCAAATTAAAAAAAAAACAATAGTTCAGAAAGATTTATGCATAAAACTAAAATCATTCATATAAAACAAATACCTATTCTCTTAACCTTAAAAACTACAAATTCTCTATGAAATAAATGATTCAAATTGTTTGATTATAAACAAAGAGAATGTCCAAAAAAAGTTGAAATGTTGGAATGTAGATATCCGGTTCTGCACGAATTATTGAAAGCATGTTTTGTAACTGTGTAGATTTTGAATACAAAGAGCATTTTAGACATCTTCCGATCACTATAATAAACAAACTCCGATCACTATAACAAATAAAATAAAATATAAAATATAAAATAAAATCAGATCATTTGTCTGAAAAAAATTAAATTAATATTAAAACATCAAAACCAAAAAATATAAAATTCAATTTTTTTATTATTCTCAATTGTTTTAAATTAAACTCCTACATATTATAAAATATTTAAGATTTTTATATTCTAATTAATTAGGTTTATTAATAATTTTAGCTACTTATATATTTTTCTATTATAAAATTTGACGAATTTTTTGTTGTTTTATATTATTATTGGAATTAGATTTATTTTTACCATATTTTTTTTTCTACTGGTTAAAATAAATTTATTACATATGCCTAAATTTTCTTGACTTAGATACTGATTTAATCACTTATAAATATAGAAAAATAAAATTGAGACTAACACAAAACCCTTCTTAAATTTTCAATTTGGAGTATTATGAGAATAATTCGTTTTTATTTTGTAAACATATATTCTCTCCGTTTCATAAAGAGTGTTACTTTGACACTTTTCATACAAATAAAGAAAATCATTAAAAGTTTTGTTTTACTCCTTGTTTACACATAAAATAACATTTTTTTTCTAATTAAAACAGTAAAATTCAAAATTTAATACTGGATATTTATTCATAATTATGCATTGTAAATGTAAAGTGACACTCTTTATAAAACAAAAAAAACTTTAGAATGACACTTATTTTAAATGGAGGGAGTATAATGTAAATGTTTTTCTGGTAATAAATAAATAATTATAAAAAGAGATTATATGTTCAATTTAATTATTTATAGTAAGTTATTAATTAATTTGATACATGAGGTTAAATTAACAATTATTTTAATTTACTAATGAAACTAATCTTGATATTATTGAATAGCAAAATCTTTTTCTAGCTTGATAAAATAGTATTAAAGATAAATTTGGGTTTATGCAGTTAATGGAAAAGAGTAATTATATAAACTTTTGATTTAAAACATTAATATTTAATAATTTTCTACCAGAATTTTTGATTCAAATATTTTAGCTTTGATATAATTTAGATATACTAAATACTTTAATACATATAATAACATATGTATATATATTTCTAAAATATGTCCATCCCAATACTTTTTAAAATAAAATTTTTGTATTTCAAAATGTTTTTATTTCTACGACTCTGTTTCCATTTACATATAATTCAAATCAAAATATATATTACATTTTTATTGATTAACTTGACATGTATTGTAATTATAATAATAATTTTGAAACGGAAAATTATTTAGGAATCTGGTTCCTCATCGAATTAACTTATGATATATTAATACCTATCAATTAACTTTGACATGTGACAACATATAAATATTGAGAGGATAATATTCAGGAATCTGAAAAATAATCTATATTATCTTCTAGTTTTTTTTTCTTTGTATTTTTCACTATACATTCGTTTTTTTCCTTTCAACACATTGATTCTTTCCATTTTTTAACATACAATTTAAGAAACACATTAACCAAAAAAATAAGAGACTAAAAGCTGTACCTTAACCAAAAAAATAATTGATAACCTTTTGTTGTATTTTATTTTGTATATAATTTATTTTCTATGACCTTCAAATTATAAGCACGACTCTCCATATAAGGCCGAGATCTCTATACTGATTTCTTAACAGTTATCACATATTAATCACAAAATCCTAGGTGCTTATCTGGCAGATAATCCCATGGTTACAAGTAACCGTTGCTAAAGAATAACAATAAAGTCAATCCAAATCTGAAATCTCTGTAATTAAGACGGAGAATTTTCATTCATGTTCCTGGTAAAGAAACTTCAATCTGTGCATGCTCTTTCTTTCCTCCTTCGACTCTATTTTATTATCAACACATCATGCATGTGTAATAATTATACAGAAAAATATTTTTTCTACATTTAACTTCAAATTTAATTGAGTTTAAATCCAACCTCTCCTGTTATATTGATTAATAATGAGAAATTGTAATCTTATATATTTTGTACGAAAAATAGTTCCATCTTTTTCCTAGTGCATATTTTGTTTTCTAGTGAGCATCTCTAGCTTATGTTTTTATTTATGTATCAGTTAGTATTGCTTATATATATCAGCTTGTGTTATATATATTATCAAATAACAATTGAGTTTTATCTATTAAACTTAATTTTGAGGAAAACTGGTTTTTTTTTCTGGGTTATCTGTTTACGAAAGTTTTAGATTGAAATGGAACAAAGTTTCTGTGATTTTGAATCCAAATATTAACTTTCACTTGCAAAAGAAGCAAAGTGACTCTTTCTTGCACATTTATCTGGCTTTGTACAGGCCCTGAAGTTGAAAAACTGGCGGAAATTGCTAGAAAATACAATGTGTACTTGGTGATGGGAGCTATAGAGAAGGATGGATATACACTCTACTGCACAGCCCTTTTCTTCAGTTCGGAAGGTCGGTTCTTGGGGAAGCACCATAAACTCATGCCAACAACTACTGAACGTTGCATTTGGGGTTACGGGGATGGATCAACCATCCCTGTTTATGACACTCCCTTAGGCAAACTCGGTGCTGCTATTTGCTGGGAAAATAGAATGCCTCTCTACAGAACTGCATTGTACGCAAAAGGTTAGTCATGAGTTCAAGAATATTTAAAATATTCTAGCTCAAAACTAGTTTGATTTTAGCCAATTTCTTTTAAATGATATATAATTTTTTTTATCCATCTAAACTTTGAATTCCTTTTTAGAGTCGTGAAAATATCTTATTCGAAAAAATATAGGCTTTGATATATTAATATATTCATGAATTTTCATTTTTTAAATTAATTTTTTTATGAGTGGAACTGGCTCGATTGTCCCATAATATTGTAACGCTCCTAACAATTTCGATTTTGAGCTGTACTAGGAGTTGAGATTTATTGTGCACCTACTGCTGATGGTTCGAAAGAATGGCAATCTTCTATGCTTCACATTGCGCTCGAGGGTGGTTGTTTCGTGTTGTCGGCCTGCCAGTTCTGTCGGCGTAAAGATTTTCCTGAACATCCTGATTACTTGTTTACCGACTGGTACGATGACCAAGAACCTGATTCTATTGTGTCTCAAGGCGGTAGTGTCATCATTTCACCATGGGAAAAGGTTCTTGCTGGACCAAACTTTGAATCAGAGGGTCTCATCACAGCTGATCTTGGTATGTATACTTTTCTTTGATATTCATCTTGTGTTTTAGCCAAGAAAATGATAATATGTTTACCTAATTAAGTCGATAAAACAAAAATCTCATCCAGATCTTGGTGATGTCGCAAGAGCCAAGTTATACTTCGACGTGGTGGGACATTACTCGAAGCCTGAGGTTTTTAACTTGACAGTAAATGAGCACCGAAAAAAACCAGTTACATTCGTGTCAAAATCGGTGAGAGTGGAGGATGACTCAGAGCCTCAAGACAAATAATCAAGATCTAAAGCTCATCAATTTATCCTCTCCATAACTGCTGGAGTTAATGCTAATCATATGTTGATGTCATGTTCAACATTATTCTGTTAAGCTTGTTTATGTTTATGTTCAATAATATAAGAACCAGTTGAAAAAAACCAATTAGTTTTTCTCTTTTCTTTAAGTGTCATTGAATCTATTTTAAAGTTTTACACACCCCTATTATAAGTTTTCTTTCGCTGACAAAATGTTATTATAAAGTTTAATCAATTGTGGGTTTCCATAAAAAAAAAAAAATATATATATATATATATATATATATATATATATTTATTTGTAGCATCAAACATGTTTTGATTTTAAAAACAAAATTGATACAAAATTTAAAATATTTGATAAATTAATCTTAAAACATTAAATCAATACCAAAAAATGTAAAATTTAATTATTTATTTTTATTCTCAGCTGTTTATAATAAACTCCTACATTTTATAAAATATTTAATATTTTTATATTCTAATTAATTAGGTTTATTTATAATAATTTAGATACTTATATATTTTCTATTATAAAATTTGACGAATTATTTGTTGTTCGACATTATTATTAGAATTAGATTTATGTTTACCATATTTTTTTCTACTAGTTAAAATAAATTTATTACATATGCCTAAATTTTATTGACTTATATAAAGATTAATAATTTACGATTTTATTATTTGTAAAAAAAAAAAACTAAAAACAAAAAAACATAGTACATGTTTAGGAGAAAATTTCGAAATACCACTTCGGAGCGTGTGATTCGTTTGAGGAGTGGAGCTGTGACTCTGAGTTTCGTCCTCTGGGGGGAAAGGCGACGAGTTGTTCCGGGAAGGAGGCCTTCGATGCTGGGGCGATGGAGCGAACGTCGCGTTCGATCCTGCAAACACTCAAGAAAAGGTCAGGCGGACCTCCGGAAAGACCGAAAAGGGGTTTTCCTCTCGAAGATTCTCCGACACCCAAGTCAGTGGACATCCTACCGGGAACAAATACTCAGGAGTGGTGGTTCTACGGGTTCCCGTCTAGGGATCAAGACTTCTATCTGCTTTCAGGTGTTTCGAAAGAGTTTCTACACGATAAAAGAGAGCGAAGCGAGTATGGAGGCAAGGTTCCGGGTTAAGAAGGTCTTATCCTGAAGGGCGTTCACATGGGAAGAACATGGAGTTCACTCGTGATCACGCTGCTTGCCCGAGTAGACTGATCTAGATACAAGTAGCTACCTCATCTCATAGAGGGGTTTTCTTCAATCCGACCCAGTCCCCTTCTCTGTGTTGTGGTCTCCTCTTATTTATACTCGCAGCCCCCCTTGTCATGTCTATTCCATCCGGCGCGCTAGGAGAGCAGGTGAGAGTAATGATTCTAGCGTGTTTGGGGAAGTTCACCAACTGTCCTGGAACAGTACGCGGGAGTGGGTCGGCCGGGCTAGCGTGGCGTGTGTCAGCGTTTACCGCAGGTTAGGTCCACGTGTCAGGCTCTCTCTCAACCCAGTAAAATCAGTCCCAACAGTAAACACAATTAAATCACTTATAAATATAGAAAAATAATATTTAGACTAACACAAAACCCTTCTTAAATTTTCAATTTGGAGTATTATGAGAATAATTCGTTTTTATTTTGTAAACATATACTCTCTCCATTTCATAAAGAGTGTCACTTTGACACTTTTCATACAAATTAAGAAAATCATTTAAAATTTTGTTTTACCTCTTGTTCACACATAAACTAATATTTCATTTCTAATTACAACTATAAAATTCAAAGGTTAAAACCGGATATTTATGCAAAATTATGCATTAAAAATGTAAAACGACACTCTTTATAAAACAAAAATAAAACTTTAGAATGACACTTAGTTTGAAACGGAGGTAGTATAATGTAATCTATTTTTTGCTAATAGATTAACAGACTTCAGACTTCTCGAGTAGACTTCAGTCGCAGACTTCTCGAGCAGACCTCTCGAGCCGACCCCTCGAGCCGGCCTCTCAAGCAGACCTCTCGAGCATACTTCATACTTCTCGAGTAGACTTCAGTCGCAGACTTCAGACTTCTCGAGTATACTTCAGTGGCAGAATTCTCGAGCAGAATTCTCGAGCAGACTTCTCGAGTAGACTTCTCGAGCAGACTTCAGTCGCAGACATCTATTCAGACAATTTAGTTTGAGACTGATTTCCTATGCTAATTTTAAGATTTATAATCAGTGACCCTTAAATATTTGTTTGTTTAGACGGTCTACTTTATATGTAATGTTGAATTTCATTGAATATTTTGTATCATATTCCTAAATTATGTGTGTTTATGTATTCTGCAAAATAAACTTCACTGTCAGACTTCTCAATTAGACTTTTCTAGTAAACTTCACAAGTATACTTATATTACATAACATAAGATTTATCTCAATAGATTCATATTACATAATAGGTTTCTTACATAGACTTATTGATAGGGTCAGGTTCTACCCAAATAAAACTACTGCAAGTGCACAGCAAAAGCAGTTGTAGTACAAGGGGTTATCGAATCCCAAGGGAGTAAGTAAACTACACTATCGAATGTAGATTCGGATTAAGCTAAGCAAAATATAATGTATGTAATGCGAATGAATAAATAAAAGTAAGCAAACGATCTTTGTAAGATGATCTAAGTTTCAGAAGACTAAAAGCGCTAAGTCAGGACAGTTTGCAGGTTGAATCCAAGAATGTAGAATGCAGGAAATCAGGAATGGTTAAGAACCGTTTTAAACATGAATCACTGATGTATAACAAAACAATTCACATTGCAGAAGTTATCTATGCCTAAATCACAGAGTTTCAAATCTCTTTGCAAACCCTAACAACCTAAGCATGCAGGAATGATCAGATTCAATTGTTTACAAAACTCCTAAGCCAAATCTCTTTGCACTAAGTTGTTTTTCTCATCAAATACTAGTTCAGGTTATGAATAATGCTCTCACATATATTTAACAACCTATGATTTTCGGATTCCTAGATGATGTGTCTCAGAAATTCGATTTTAAAGCAAGCAGAGATGAAAAACCAATGAATTTCCTATAAGTTTTTAGCAATTCTACAAAATCTTCTTCAACCTTTGAAAAACCCTAACTTAACTAACAAACTACTCAGACATGGTGAATGAAACAAACATCATGAAAAGAATAGATTGCATAAAAGAAATAAGAAGTAAAGATGAAGGAGTTCGAAATCTGCTCTGAAGGAGTCTGATTTGTCTCTCCAAAAGCTCTTCTACAAATCTCTCTTTCAAGCTCTCTAAAATAATAAGATACAAGATATCTGCCAAAAGAATGGCTGAAAAAACTAATATACAAGCTAAAACACGATCTGAGGTCTTTTTGCAAATATTGGAACTTCTGGGCCAAAACTGCAAATAATCCTCTATCTTTTAGAAAACAGCCACGACCCCTTCCTTTCTGGGTGACGAGGTGACGAGCGTCACCCATATGCATACTTTTCTTCCCGAGTTGGATACTTCGTGGCTTCAACTTGTAATGCTCCAAAAAACTTCAATATCTCCATTTATGCTCCAGACATGCTATAACCTGCAAAGACTCTTTTAGGACTCTAAAAAGCCAAAAAAACTCAATATAAATGACTTATATCATGGTTAAAAACCATAAAAACCATGATATATCACTTATGAAGTAAACTTTCTACTCAGACTTCTTCCTTGACATCTTACTAAGTCATCACCATACTTCTTTCTTAACATCTTACTTAGTCATCAACATCCTTGAACCCCTAATAATATAAGAGAATTAATTAAATTTTAACTATAAGAAACAAACATGTAAAACTCATACATAAGCAAGATTAGTAAATAACATAAACTCAAGAGTTAAAGAAAAGTTCTATGTAATGTCACAATGATTCACTCCTCACCCATTCTCCATAAACAGCATGTATGTGAACCATTATCTGTAAGAAAACAAAATCCAAACCACATTATAAATCAAAATTGAATAAGTAAACTTCTCTGAAAGTCGGATGAAGTCTACTTAGTAGACTTCTTGAGTAGACTTCCTGGAGATGTCTACGATCAATAAGCTAAATATCTTATAAAACATAAAAACTGATTCGACCATACCTATAAAATATAAACATGTAAAACTGCATTTAAAAAAACAATAAAAGTAGAATTCTCCAAGAAAATAGACTTCTCACAGGTTAGTTTTGAAATTGCCAAAAGATCAGTAGACTTCTCCAAGAAAAGTAGACTACTACAAAAGTAGACTTCTTGGAGAAGTTTACTGTCCTTGGAGAAGTCTACTCCAAAAAAGTCAAAGGTTGGTCAATTACAAAAATAACCTACCTCTAAAGAAGTATGCTCGAGAAGTCTGCTCTATTTTTTGTTATCAAAGGAAATGGCTCGGACTTCATTCGAACCAAAAGAAGTCTACTTTTTTCATGCGGACAATTGCAAAATTAACCTGAGCATTGACTAGTAGACTTCACCAAAAAACACTAAAATCGACTGAAAATTTGACTTACCACTCGTCTTTAGCTTCTTTTCTAGCCGATTCTAGCCACCATGAAAGAAACTCAAACGCAAAAAGCGACCAACTCGCCGGAAATTGAAATATCTATGAACTTCCACTTTATAATAGTCAAGTTATAGAGTTTTTGGGAAGAAAATAGAGAGAAATAGAAGAATAGAAGCTTATGAGAAAGATAATGAGCTATCCAAGCTCAAAGGTAGATTTTTGGTGCAATTAAAGCTCGAAATTGGTTGAAAATAGTGGTTGAGTGAATTGATGATGATTGTATTTTCGTAAATAAGTGAGAAAGATAGATGATTAGTTGGTGTTTTGGATTTTCAAAAATTTTAAAAATTAATTTAAAGTAATGGCAATTTTGTGAATAACTATAACTATGAAAGATTTATTTGGGAATAAGTGGCAAATTTTGAAGTAGATAATTTTGGAGGTTAGATTTGCAATTGAAACCAAATTTTAGATCATATCACCAATA